AACACATCCACAGATGCTCTATTGGGTTGAGATCTGGTGACTGTGGGGGCCATTTTAGTACAGTAAACTCATTGTCATGTCATAAAGGGATGGACATGGTCAGAAACAATGCTCAGGTAAGCCGTGGCATTTAAACAATGCCCAATTGGCACTAAGGGGCCTATAGTGTGCCAAGAAAACACCCATTACACCATTACACCACCAGCAGCCTGCACAGTGGTAACAAGGCATGATGGATCCATGTTCTCATTCTGTTTACGCCAAATTCTGACTCTACCATCTGAATGTCTCAACAGAAAACGAGACTCATCAGACGAGACAACATTTTTCCAGTCTTCAATGGTCCAATTTTAGTGAGGTCTTGCAAATTTTAGCAAGTAAATTTTACCTATTTGTAGTGGAGATGAGTGGTACCCGGTGGGGTCTTCTGCTGTTGTAGCCCATCCGCCTCAAGGTTGTGCGTGTTGTGGCTTCACAAATGCTTTGCTGCATCGGCCCATTCTCCTCTGACCTCTTGCATCAATGAGGCATTTTCACCCACAGGACTGCTGCATACTGGATGTTTTTCCCTTTTCACACCATTCTTTGTAAACCCTAGAAATGGTTGTGCGTGAAAATCCCAGTAACTGAGCAGATTGTGAAATACTCAGACCGGCCCGTCTGGCACCAACAACCATGCCACGCTCAAAATTGTTAAAATGACATTTCTTTCCCATTCTGACATTCAGTTTGGAGTTCATGAGATTGTCTTGGCCAGGACCACACCCCTAAATGGATTGAAGCAACTGCCATGTGATTGGTTGATTATATAATTAATGAGAAATTGAACAGGTGTTCCTAATAATCCTTTAGGTGAGTTTGTGTCTATATGGTGCTTTTAATATGTTTTTAAGACAAACCATATGCAAATTCATCAGTCAACTCCATTGCAGAGTATTTCCTCCTTAAAAACTGCATTGTCCTAAAGACAATCTCAAAAACGCAGTTTGAAACTGCCCCAACCATCTACCATCACAAATATACAACCAATCCAGTCAAGGCTAGTGGTGGGCTTTTTCATTCTTTCTAGGGATGCTAATTTTAGAAGACGACAGTCTGACTCTGAGATGGTGAACGGGAACATGGTTTGTAACATTTGCAACACATTATTAACTGTTTGATAATGTAGTCAAGCCAAGGGCTAAAATCATATCAATTAACAATGTGTGTCGACTTTAACTCAAAGTCTGAATGGATTATATATAGCCTAGAAAGTGTGCAAAGTCAGTTCCCTTTACAATCACTAAAAGCTGCCATCATAGTTCGCGATCTCACAAAGTTCCATTATAATCAAAAAAGTTGTCTACAATGAATCTCTTATCTCTGCGCTCAAGATATCATCAAACATGTCTATTATTGGCTACATTATTCACCACAACAAAAACAGACCCAATAGGTTTCATCACTATGATATTATTACAGTATCAATTGAAGGTGCTCTTACTTTCATTTGTGGGTTCTTAACACCCTCAAGCACCCCCGCAGAACTGGGTCTGCCTTTAACTTGCTCTTCCTCTTCTTCTGAATTTGTTTTTGGTTCAAAAACAAATGGGTGAAATAAACCAATATTTCCACTTGCCATCTTGTAGCATTTACTACAGCTGACAGAGTGGATCAGGTAGTCCGAGCTGGCGTGAATGGGAGGAGGTGGGGAATAATTACATTCAAGCAATTTTAAGGCATGAAGAAATTGCTTTCACAGGAAAAAAAAAAAAACTTTTAAATATGTCAATTTGATTATCAAAGTTGAGTTTTAAGGGATAAAATCATTGATTGTAATGGGACTTGAAACAAATAAACGTCTGTTGTGGTGCCTGTGTTTTATTAATACTACGAATTCTGACATTTTAATTCTACTAATTTCATGTACTCAGGGAGGAGGCATATTTGGATGCAGGTAGTGAAGCCAAAACAGAGACTGAAATAAGCTTTCCTTAACTTTGCACTTCAGGGCTTCATTACCAAAAAAAAAATGAAAAAAAAAAAAGTATAAAAGCAAAATGAGATTTGAAAAGCCGCTCAGTTGGATTGTAATGTGTTGTTCAAGCCATGTGGCAGTAAGCTGAACAGAACAAAGTTTAACGCTCTCCATGAGTAAACAGCTCACGCAGAGCAGCTGGTGACTCGCGGCTCACTATAGCTTCTACAGATGTCAAACAGTGGTGCTCCTCTCTAATCCAAATCTCTCATTCAGTCCGGCTCCCCCTCGTATGACAGAGAGAGATTCAATCCCTTTGTTTAGAGCCCAGACCACAGCCCTAACCGATACCCCTCTCTATCCAGATATAAGGCTATATATCCGCAATTGGGTCAACCCTTGCTGTTTAAATTGGATTTTTGTGTGTGCCATGAACCAAGATGGAATATCCAGACTCATATTCCACAGTGCGCTCTTGTGTTCGCCTAGAGACACTTTTTGCACTCACGTTTTTCTTGTCTACCATCGTTGGATCAACTCTTCATCTCCATCAGAGGCTGATGAACACGAGAAAAAAAAAAAAACAGCAGCACTGCACGAATCAAATCAAACATCTCCACCTTAATAGGAACGGGTGTACGAGTGTGCCAAGCTGGGGCTTTTTAAAAAGGGAAGAAAAAACGACAACATATTTAAACAGATTGTGAAAACAATTCCATCTGTCGCCTTTGGCTTGCCACCACACAGCAGATGGAACACTTATCATTATAAATGCTAACTGCTTCCACACTGCCAATTGGCACTTAAATGCCACTGCCATTTCTCCCTCGATGGTGGCACCAAACAAAGGCACTCATTTATTTCATTATTCCTTCATTACGGCAGACTCGATTAAGGTAATCTATAAAAGGCTAGATCAGTGGTCCTCTGCGTCGAGAGCCTCTACGTAACGGTAAAGTATTGTAGACGTGGTGATGGGCGGACTAAACAACAATCTACACTTGGAAGAGTCAAGATGACTCTGTGAAAAAAGAAACTACTTTTTAATTAAACACCTCACAATGATGCATCTTTAAAAAAAAGACATTGAATCAATTTTCACAAGATTGGAAAAACTACTGGTGCATACAAAGGCACTGCAACAAAGCCTACAGTGGTAATTTAAAGAAGACTGGGCTAATGGGTTACAATCCAGGACAAACACGTTAACTAATCAAAAAATTTATTTGATTATAAAAAAAAAAAAAAAAAAAAAAGTTTGCTACAAAGTTCACAAACCTATAGGACCTTTCAACACTATCTCACGACCAATTCGTACGAATTCGACGCATGATTAAAAAGTGGCTAATTCGTACTAATTCGTACGACCTCACTCGTACTAATTCGTACGATTTGTCTAAACCCACGTGATGGTTAGGTTTAGGGGCGGGGTAAGGGGTAGGTCATTCGTACGAATTCATACGAATTGGCCAATTCGTAAAATATGTACGATTTAGCAAAATCGTATTAATTTGTACGAGTGAGGTCGTATGAATTGTTACGAATTAGCCACTTTTTAATCATTCGTCGAATTCGTACGACTTGGTCGTGCGATCGGGTTGGACCTTTTGGTTGCAAAAATAATTAATAAATTATCCAATTAAAATAGTATAAATAAATAAATAATTGCACTAGATTGTGTTGCAGTGGTGCCTGTCCCATAGAACACAATGCTTCTTGTTGAGAGTGGTTGCCGGGGCATTGCAATATGGTTTCTAGGGTGTTGTGGATGGTTGCTAGGTGGTTACTTAATAGACCAATTCTAAAGAGCTTAACTCTAAGGGTCTATGATATTCTGGCCTCAATTAAAGGCGTTGTTCACTTTAAAAAAAATAAAATAAAAAACTTTTGCTGATAACTTCTTTCCCCCCATGTCATCCAAGATGTCTATGTCTTTCTTCAGTCGAAAATAACTCTCCTGTTCGAACTCGTTCATCAAAATGAACAAATCTTTTTTTTTTTTTTTCCCCAAATCATTTCGTTCATTCAACGAACGAAATAACTCAAAAAAAAAGATTTGTTCATTTTGATGATTCGATCCTCAGGATCAGAGTTACGAACGTGCATCACAGAACAGAGCAAGGCAAGCATTTGTGCTTATTTGTGCATTAAACTTTATTTATTTTTTAAATGACCGATCGTTTTGCTAGATAAGACCCTTATTCATCATCTGGTAGCGTTTAAAGCCCTTTGAAGCTGCACTGAACCTGTCAATTGGAACTTGAAACGTTGGGGTCCATTATATGGAGAAAAATCCTGGACTGTTTTCATCAAAAACCTTAATTTCTTTTCGACTGAAGAAAGAAAGACATGGACATCTTGAATGACATGTGGGGTGAGTAAATTATCAGCAACATTTTTTTTTTTTTTTTTACTTGAACTAATCCTTTAAAGTAAGTCAAAACCTCTTTGGTTCTTGTGGAAGAGCATGATTGAGCGTGTAAGAGCAACTAATGTGCGAGTTGATGAATATTTATATGTGAATAAAAGCCTATGTTCAATCTGTTCATCATATAAATTAATTGTGTCTCTTCAGAAAATGTGGTGAAAAGTGACCCATGCTTTATCAAACACTCTAATTATACATAGCAACATTTCCAATTCCCTCAGTCTATCGAATGATGCAGAAATCTAGTCCAATAAAGACTCACAACAAAATCTCAGTGTGCACCAGTCATGAGAGCCATTTCAGTTGTGCAGGAGGGCCGGTATTCAATGGCCCTGGAGAAGTGTGGCACATTAGCGAAGCCGAACACCACTGACTCCTGAACGGAAGGAATGGCGGGGGGTCGATTAGCTTGCCATGATAAATCAGAACACAGCTTTACAAAGGATTGCCACCACCACACCGGCTGGTTAAAGGCATTAAAAATGCAAAGCAGGACTCTTTTCAGCTGCTGCCACACTCTGGAGTGCAAGTGAAGATAAATTCTGCAATGAAGCATCTTTCTCTGGTGGAGTTTAGCCGGGGCTACAGAAGAGAGAGAAAAATAAAAGCCTTTTAATCCAGCTGCTCTCCACTGAAGCCTTCGCCTCACTTCTGGGCACGCGTCTCAGAGACTAAAGGGAAAACGCATTAACCCTGCCTGGCATACGCAAGCACACACTCACACACGTGAATACAGCAAACGAAAACAACGTCTGGAAGTCATTCCTTTTACCTTCATGTGAGCTACTTTGACAGCCATCAGCCAAGGCGAGCGGCTGAAGAAGCCATCTAAAATTGCGTTTTACTTTCTAATTCGATTTAAAAGCTGGCAGGGAGAGGTTTATTGACTAATCTTTAAAACAAAAGGTTGAAAAAGACAAAATGAAGGAGGGCTGGAGAGCTTGTCGTTTCTCCGATGGATATCTTTTGTCATCCTTAAGGGAGCCGGGCTGCCGGAGCACTATCGCAGGATCAGAGAATGCTGGACAGTGATAAGTGGAAGCCATGGAGAGCCTGAAAGACAAGCCCTATCTCAAGTCTGAGAAAAGACACACACACACACACCTACCCTCACACTTCAAAGCATTGCTCAGCTTCTACAGCTAGAAGTAGTGCATGCACAAGCCTGATCATTCAATAGACAGCAAAATAATCGCTCCGTTCCAATCCATAGTGAGCTGCCTACAAAGGCAGCATTTTAAGGAATCATAGGCAAGCTACATATTTGGCAAATAAGGTCCATTGTTTATTGTCAATAGTGTAGTGTTGTGTGAGGAACAGCTCACAGTGAAATCACTTTCAAACCAAACAGCTTTCTGTTATTCAAAGCGTTGAATCCAGAAGACCAAGTTCAACTCATTACGAAATCTCGGTGGGTACATTTTTCGATCTTACACTACATTCCTAGTCGCATTCTTATTGAAATGACTAGATTTCACCAAACAACTGTAAATGTGACAAAAATTGAAAGGGTAGTTCTAGAAAATTCTGTCATCAATGGGCCTCTCACAACTTCCGTATTTGTGACTGGAAAATACGCAATTGTCATGGTAATCTTCTTCCGCTCCGGTCAGAACAAATAGCGCAAGCAACTAGTTTTTTTTTTTGTTTTTTTTTTTTGTTATTTCCAAAAGCAGCCATATCTGTCGTTTTCATTCCTTCCCTCAGTTCCTTGTTGATGAAGTTCGACAGAAATGGATTCAGGCTATCCGGCGGGATGTTATTGATCCTGTGATCTTTTCTACTTCTCATGTCCCCATTAACTAACCCGCCATTGTTTATGTTTATTATTTATGTATTATGATTTGTGTATAATGAAGTAGTATGTCAAGCAAGCAAGCTTAAATTCCAGGACCATATTGCATTTTCTGACATAATGCAGCTGCTGTTATCAGTGTACAGTATGGGTTTAACACAGTTTCCACATGTAGGCTACACCTAAATAAAAGATTGAGTAAACTAAGTCTTGTGAATAGATAAACGGTTGTTCATTATATTGATAAAACAATAACTTTAAGAAAAACATTTATTCAGTTATATTTAATGTTTAATAAGGAGAAAACCGTATCTAAAAAGCTAACAAGCTCTACTATTAAAAAGCTAATAATAGTAGAATAGAATAGAATAATAATAAAAACATTCAAAAACGTTTTGTAAGAGCTGTGTTTGGGGAGGTTCTGCTCGACTCTCTTCATCGCCGCTTTCTGGGTCTGATTCTGGCTCAAACTGACCAGCAGTATCGACACACCATTATTTACATTCGACATGAACTCATGCAACTTTCGCCCATAAAGGTAATGGGTGTGAAGTATCCAGACAACGTGTACTACTGAGTTTAGCCAATCACAACACACCGTCCCAAACTAACCGATCTGAGCCCATTGCCTGTTTCTGGGGGAGTGGTTTCATAGTCAACCGGTCGTCCAAATGACAGAGGAGAAAATCGGCTTACAATAAAAGGTTAAATTTATGAAAAATAAGACGAATTTAAAAAAAAAAAAACACGAATACATGTTATATTGCACCCCCAAAAACACAATCATGCAAAGAAAAAAAAAGCAGAAAACCACCCATTTAATTACGCTAATATTAGTCTCTGTTTATCCCGAGGGACCCTCTATGGTGGACCTACGCGTGGACCCATTCCAACTCCTCCTTAAGTGCCAGCCTCATCGTCACGACAGCCATCAGCACTGATCCTCAACAACTCGTCTCCATACCGGCGTGATTACTTCGACTTCCAAACAGATGGAAATGGATAAATACTCTAAATGTTCCGATCCAATCTGACTTGTAATGCTGCCCGAATCATTTTTTTCAATCATTTCAATTTTTTTTTCTCTATTCTGTCACCTGATGGAGTTTTGGTTCCTTGCCACTGTTACATTGGCTTTTGGCTTGCTTAGTTGGGGACATTTAATATTCATGTAATGATCTGCCTTACCTAAGGTGGACATTGATTCAGTTTTCTTCAAGAAACAAACTTCTTGTATTATTTTCATGTTATCACTGTGAAGCTCCTTTGATACAATCGGTATTGTAAAAGTGCTATATAAATAAAGGTGACTTGACTTTACTAGTAATAATGTGTGAACAGCCTTGGTATGTATATAGTCTTTGATATTGTGCTGTTAGCTTAGCAACATGCTAATATCAAACTGTACTATAATCAAATTTAAGTCAAGACATAGCACTATTTGTGTCAGAATATTCCAAAATCACTTCTGAGGTTAGGGTGCTATGTTTGAAGGCTTCTGCCTTTTCTAAACATAAATTTGCCAATTCTAAATGCTAATGTTCAAATACAACTGAAATGCTAAGGAGTAGTTCCAAAGGGGTTTTTACTGATGGCTTAATTATGCCTGAGTCAGTTTCAAGGTGATTGTATAAAACAATCCAATATGATATACTAATAAACAAGGCAAGCAGTGACTTTCACCAATAACCTCAGTGAAAGCTCTAGAGACTAAAGAACAATTATCTGTTTTACAGGAGGAGTAAAGAATCAATTTCAAGTCAATGAATGACTCTTCCACCTTTAAACAACAGCTAGAGTTAAACCACCAATCAGGAAGAGCTATACGAAGCTTAAAATAAACTAGTAAACCGTACTAGTAGTAGCAGTCATCTTTTGTGAGTCTCTTCTAGAACTGGGCCATGATTTCATTTTTGGGGACATTGAAGACGACTGATATTCTGAAGCATTAGTAGCCTGGTTAGAGAATCAGCTTTTTCTTTAGGTGGAAATAATGGAAATCTGCGAAACCCATCCAGATCTGGCACCACAATTTCAAGGATTGGCTTTTTAACAGACACATTCATCATCAGTAAACTCATGATATGCTCAAACTTACAGTCCCTCTCACTTGAAGCTTCTTGGGCTCTGGGCTCATTTCTTGAGGGATGAATTTGATTGGTCCCTTGATCTGCCTTCTGGACCTTTTGGTTCCATCCGGCAGCGTCTCCATGGCGATGTCAGCCTCATCACTACTGGCCTGGTCGCATTCAGAGCACTGCCTGGAAAAGGATGAGTGAGAGACAGAACGAGAGAGAGAGAGGAGTCAGGTATTATTTTGCTTTCATTTGGCGTTATTGATTTCTCAGTATGGGGAAATCTTTGAGATGAGAGAGCAGCTTTCAAGGTCCATGCCCATGTTTTTCCATTGGAAGCGTGTCACGTGTCATATTCATTCAAACAAAGGGGATGTTAAGTATCCCGCACAAACCATATATAAAATTGAAGGAATAGTCAAATTCTTCAGTGCGAGAAAAGCTTTTTGATTATACAGTATTACTGTCTCAGGAGCAGGCAGTTGCCAGTAATTAGGTACGACTTGGCCCCCTACACAATTTTATCTTTCGAATGCTTTCTAATTTCCATCCAGCAGAGCGGAACGACATCACGCTTTCTTATTCATGGATTAAATGAATTACTCGAATCAGCAGCGAAAGCATTGGGCTCAGCTTGACAAATAAACAAAACACAGAAACGCTCACGCACGCAACTGTGGAGCTCCACATAAATTCTGAAAGTGACAGTTAGTATAACCTTACTAAAGTAAACATGGAGGGACTTTATGAAACACTACAAGTGGAAAATCACTCCTAGAATTTGAAACTGCATTTTTATTTTGCTATAGACATTAAAAAATAGGGCTGTCAACTTAACATGTTTATTTAGTGATTAATTACAACAAAAAAATCCAATTAAAATGCAATTAATCTTGTTCTCAGACCCATTTATTAATTTATCATATAATTTGATTATCATTTTCAATCAATTGACAGCCCTAGGTAAAAGGAAGAAGTGAACTGTCAAAGTTAAATATTTACAACGAACTATGATTTTAAATCAATATTTCAATTCTCATGTTGGCTAATGGTCACAGGTAAATAATTAACTATTTTCTAAATATCTTTTTTAGCAAGATTTTGTTTTGATTGTTTTTATTTTTAACAGTTTTTTAACTTAAATTTAACAGTTTTATAACTATTAGCCATTGTCAATTATTAGAAACCCTGCTCTGGAAGGTTATTAGAGATGTAATTACTTCTAGAATAATTGTAATCACATTTCAATTCCCTCTCCCAGTCCTGTTCTCACCAGTAGCTGTTTTTGGTCTTCTTCGGCATGCGTGTGAGAGGTGGGTCCAGACAGCCCAGATGGTAATGCAGCTTACAGGTGTCACATAGCAGTAAAAGATGCTGGTCTTGGTTTTTCTTACAGATCCCACAGCTGCACATGCAGAATATGAAACGGTTTCTTAGTTACAGCTCACAGCCACATTAAAGCATTTACTTTGTAAGCCAAGATATCTTTTCACACGTTTTCTCTTTTTCAGTGCATAATATTTTATGAACTCTAGGTCAACGTTTAAAAATGATATTACAATAGCACTGCCCAGGTGTCATAAATGACCTGCTGGAACCCTGTATTGGCTGCAAGCTAACCTGTAGAGCATAGCTGGGAGGTTTGACGACTTCCCTGGTGATCCACCCTCTTTCTTGCTTGGCTTTCTCTCTTTGGGAGCTTTCAGTACTGCAGGAGAATTCAATTTCTGCAAATAAAGTAGAGCAATTAAATTCAACCACATTTTAAAGACACACCAAATTATTCAGTGATAATATTAAACTAGACCATCATAATTTGAGAAGGTTACTTTTAAGGTTACTTGTAAGTGTTTGCCAGGATAGTGCTATACAGATGCTAAAGTGTGCAACATGACTTATGCTGCCATCAAGTTGCAAAGGTGTTCTGGGTGGTTGCTTACACTATTAAATGAGAAGTTGTCATTCATTCGTTGTCACATGATGTCATTCTTTCTTCAGTTGAAAAGAAATTAAGGTTCTTGATGAAAATATTACAGGATTTTTCTTCATATAATGCACTTTACTGGCCACCAAACAGTTCAAGGTCTAAAATACAGTTTCAGTGCAGTTTTAGGTCTTATCAAGCGAAACGATCGATCATTTAAAAAAAAACAAAAAAAAAAACCAAAGTTAAGTTTTATAAGCACAAATGCTCGTCTTGCTCTGTTCTGTGATGCACGTTCGTGACTCTCCAGTCCGAACTCGTTCATCAAAATGAACAAATCTTTTTTCAGAGACATTTGGTTCATTCAACGAACGAAATGAACGAATTAACTAAGAAAAAGATTTGTTCATTTTGATGAATGTGCATCACAGAATAGAACAAATTTTTTTTTTTTTAAATGACCTATCGTTTCGCTTGATAAGACCCTTATTGATCGTCTGGAATCGTTTAAAGCCCTTTGAACAGTTTGCACTGAAACTGTCTTATGGACCTTGAACCCTTTGGTGGCCAGTAAAGTGCATTGTATGGAGAAAAAATCTGGAATATCAAAAACCTTTATTTCTTTTCAACTGAAGAAAGAATGACACGGACATCTTGGATGACATGGGGGTGAATAAATTATCAGCAAAAGTTTTCTTTTTTTTTTTTTTAATTGAACTATTGCTTTAAGTACATTTTAAATTAAATGCAATTAAATAAACATTGGTTCTCAATTTTTTTAAGATGATTTTGAATAGACTTTTCTTTGGCACGTAGGCTCTATTAAAGAAAGTGTTTATCAGCCTAAAAAAATGCCATTCATTCAATAAACAATGAGTTTGTAACAATGGAAGCTGACTAGAGCATTTAGGAATTATTTTTGCATTTCTGCTTAATGCTGTTCTTGGCGTCACTCAATTTATGTCAGTTTTTTTCTCTCGTTTCCTCTATATGTAACGTTACCTAATAGCTTCCATCATAGCTATGATGCATCACACAAGCACTGCTACTCCTCTAATAGTGCAAATGCAAGGAAACATACTCTTTTTAAAAACCAAGAATAGATTTTTATTTGATAGTTTTTGCCCAAACAACATTACTTGACATTCCTGTCACTACACCGAAAACTATTTTAACTTTGTGTTTGTTTTTAAAGGGAAATTAAAGAAAGAATGAGCTAGACATTAGACACCTGATGAGTGACTGACTACTTTCATTCTGCAACACAAATAAGCAACACTAGAGAGAGACATTTTATGTAGAGATATGAATAAAACAAAAAAATATTTTGTAAATCAGTTTGATTAAGAGTTTCTCTTGAAAGTTACTTCTAAAGATGCAGGGAAGATGGGTTTGGAGAGAGAACAGTGGCCAGGAAAGAAAAAAATATGTTTTTTCTATTTTCTGTCTATACATCTGTGCTGCATCTTTTCTGTCCAGGTTAATTAGAAAAATTATCTAGTAGGAACCGGTCACACAGCAACACAGAGCAGCTTCTCTCTAGAGGCTTTCTAATCTGAGCACGCTCAGTTCAGTGTGCCCATGGTGACGAGATTGCACCGCCGGGATTATATCAGGCCGGAGAGCTGAGCGAGGAGATACCAGGTTTCACATCCTGCAAACTCTGGTTTACTGTGGCTGGTCCCTCACTCCACATCCCACATTTCAGTGGGAATATTATTTGGAGAAGAAAGGTGTTTGACTAAGGACAAAACAAAAACAAAAAAAAGAAGCCTCACAGAACAGCCGAACAGGCGGATGGCCATCTGCTGAGAGAGCCAGACAGACTTTGCAGTCTTGCTGAGATTGTGGAGAATCCCAATGGTACCCTGAGAGGGGTCATATAACTTGGAATTGACAGTTTAACACATGATGTCCACATCAAATATTTAATTTAACAAAAAAACTAGCTATTACTAAACATGACTAAAAAAGCAATTACAGAACAGATCTAAATAGCTTAGTGAGTAATGTTTTCCTTGTCTGGAAATTGATACCAAATTCACATTTGAGTCCACAGCTGAATTTATCATTCTCTGAAAAATTTCAGATATCTGAATGAAATAATTGACGTTCCGATAAAGTACCATAACAAAATGTCATAATTATTGTTCACAGAGTAATCTGCAAGCCTAGTTTATATATATATATGAAGAGTTCAGATGCAAAAGCCTCTAAATGCCATTTGAAATTTTCTTCTTTAATGATGATTTTTATCAAACTTGTATATTTAAGTTCAGTAATTTCACTTAAATAACAATAATAGGTAATTATCATTGGCATTTAAGTGAAATCACTGACCTTAAATATACAAGCTTGATAAAAATGGTCATTCTAGAAGAAAATTTCAAATGGCACTTAGAGGCTTTTGCATCTGAACTCTTCATATATATATGCATGTTTGTGTATATATATATATATATATACACACACACACACACACACACACACACACACATATATATATATATATATATATATATATATTAGTGCTGTCAAACAATTAAAATACTTAAATCGCGATTAATCTCATTAACATCAGTTAACTCATGATAAATCGCAATTAATCACACATTTTTATCTATTCTAAATGTCTCTTGATTTCTTTTTGTCCCATTATTTTTTTCTAATTTTAATGCTCTTATCAACATGGAAAAGTGGATCAGCTTGCTTTGTGCAAATGTTTTTTATTGAAAACAACATTGGCATATACTGTTCAAATTCACACAAAAATTCTCACTCGGAGACGAGGTCTGACGAGATACTGACGAGGTCCTGATATTGACTTGAGTAAACTTTCCATATATAGTTTATATAAATATATATATATATTGAGTAAACTTTCCATATATAGTTTATATAAATATATATATATATAGTTTATATATATATATATATATATATATATATATATAGTTTATATTTATATATACATATATAGGTAAACTTTCCATTCAGAATCTAATTGGCATCCATTCCGGCGTCTTGCACTCGTCATCCACTCAAAGTGTAACGTTAACCAACTATTCGGCTGGCTCGCAAGCCCAAACGAGTGTGTGCGGCGTGCCCGTTTTGTTTACGGTCTAGCTAGATCCGCTTGCGCTTTGGTCAACAAAGCAAAAAAAAGTCCTCGCTCGGCACAAACCATTGAAATGAATGGGTTTCATGCATGTCGCGTCCTGTTACAAAAGCATATTGCATACAAAAGCATACAAAGTTTACTAGGCCAAAAAGGCCGTTAATCACGTCAAAAATTGACGCAGTCAAAATGGGTTTGCGTTAATGCATTAATAACATGTTTAACTGACTGCCCTAATATATATATATATATATACATACAGTACATTTATATCTCTAAACTCACATCATCTCTAAACTTCACATCATATCAAGAACCACATCAGTTTGAATTTGTGATTCAGATTTTTGATCATTGTTGAAGCATATATTAAGATGAAACTGAAGGACACATACTAAAATTTTGATCAAAAAGATCTTCATTTGTGTTTCAACCATAAACAGAAGTCTTATGGGTTTGGAACGACATGAGGGTGAGTAATTAAGTGAACTATCCCTTTAAGGTATTATAAAACAAAAGGTTTTTTTCATGTCCAAAGCAGAATTTTTACAATTTCAAGAAAAAAAGGCTGTTTTTTTGTAAAATGAACAATATTTCAGACTCAATGTGAATTTATGAAGGTCATATTGTTTACGTGGACAAATTCATACGAATAGACCAAGTTTGCAAAGGTAAGCTACCGAAGACACATTCGTGTCCCCTTTCCAAGAGCACCAGTGTGAGTTCTCCCTCACCCAAGGTGGCACGAGAGATGAGACGCTCTCCTGAGAACATCAATAATTTGAGGGTTATGTGCAGACACCAATGACTGATAGGGAACGAAAATGTAGTAGATAGATGACACAAAGGAGCGGGGCGCCTTGACTGATGTTGCTACTTAAGCGGCGTGCGTTTTCTAATTATGTGATTTATGACCATCATTGCAGATTCACTGGCTCACTCTTTTCCAGACCACTCGGCTCTCCTCGCCTCCTTCTACCTCCTCGCTCCATTATTGCAGCATTTATCTGCCGAGAGGACATTTTAAGAGATCTTTTTAATTAACCATCTTACACACTCTCTAAGCCGGGTAACCAGTTATTCAGCGCAAATTAAGTTTTAAACAAGTGCGCATAGGTGCATGCAAATGGGCGCCTTTTAAATGTTTTGTCGTTGTATCAGAAGCGAGATAACGTCGTGAGCTGCAGTTCAGATTGTTGCGGTTTTAGGTTATGGAGGGAAAGAGTGGACTTTCATATTCATTCTGCTGAGGCAATCTCATCAAATTCATTCTTCCTGGGTGTATCATAGTGATTAAAATGCTGACAAAACACAGAGGACTGGCGATACCTCCTTTTTGGAGGTATCTTTCACTCTGTTTTTATATGGCCATGTAGCCTAGTCTATGCTAATTCTCCATATACATACTGCATGAAATTGAGCAACGTAGCTCCAACAAAGAGAGTGAACTTTTCCGACAAACTTTACAAACATTTCAGAATCCTAACAATTCCTTTCACGGTTGCTATTGCCAGTGACATATTTGTTACAGGGCATATCCAGCTAAATGGCATTCATAGTACAGACTGTTATTTAGACAAAAAGAGAGATCTACGGAACATTTCAGACCTTCACATTTTCGCACTCATTAAGTGACCGTCACCCATGGCGACGCACCTTGGTGATGTGGTTTCCATAGTGAGCAGGGGAGAGGTTGGCGGCTTTTAGCTACAGAGTCAGGGCTGAGTGCATGGCCAATGACAGGTCAATCAGTTAGCGCAAATGAAAGAATTTCGCAAACAGGAGGCCCATTACAGCGAAGAGAATTACCTCAACGCTGTCTACCCAGTGGGGTGCTGCCTACAATCTAGATTTCTTTCAATCACAGCTCATTACCCAGGTGCAAAAAAATCCAGGGAGAAGATTTCTGTTCTCTTTACACTCTTTTCACTGTGAAGTCAAAGACGAATTCTGCCAACAATACGCTCCAACTGCTAGAACCACTTTTGCGTCTGAGCACCCAAAGTGTCTGCTTTGTAGACCAAAACTGAGTAAGATGTCCATGAGCCAAAGAGCTGTTGACTCAATTTACTTCACATTTTATTAACTGGAGGTTCATAAGCAGTGATGCACAATTTAGCTTTTAAAAAAATGAGTGTGATTCACCATGCAGACATATAATGTTAAAATTTACAGCCATTAATATCCGTTTATGGAAACTAAGCTGCAATAAAAATTATGCTTTGTGTGCACTATTACAGTAGTTCAAGTGAGAACATTGGCCAGGTTGTTTCAGCTGTTAAAGGGTTAGTTCACCCAAAAATGAAAATGATGCCATAATTTACTCACCCTCAAGCCATATAGGTTTATATGACTCTTTCTTTAAGCCAAACACAATGTGAGTTATAGTAAAAAATATCCTGGCTCTTCCAAGATTTATAATGGGAGTTGGTATACTAAATTTTGAAGGTCAAAAAAGCTCATCCATCCATCATGAAAGTAATCATTACGGCTCCAGGGGGTTAAGAAAGGCCGTCTAAAGCGAAGTTATGCATTTTTGATAAGAAAGATATACATGTTTATAAACTATAATCACTAGCTTCCATTAACAGCCATGAGAAAGTCTAGAAAGTCAGATGACCTCTGACCTGATGTATGACGTAAGATACAGGAGTATCGTAAGCTTAGGTTAGAGTAGACGCCTCTCGTGATTTAAACAAACTCATTTCTCTTTCGTAACCGCTTTTTTGGCTTCAAACACTCAGGTGTACTCACTCCCATTATAAAGCTTGAAAGACCCAGGATGTTTTTTTTACATAACTCCGATTATGTTTGGCTGAAAGAAAGTTATACACTTAGGATGGCTTGAGGGCGAGAAAATTATGGGATAATTTTCATTTTTGGGTGAATTAAGCCTTTAAGGGAATGAAATATTCATTAAAGGTACAATATGCAGGATTTTTGCAATAAAATATCCAAAAACCACTAGGCCAATGTTATATATTTTGTTAAGTTGATTACTAACAAAATCCTAAATGTTTTTGAGAAAATTGCGATTTTAACCAAGGAAACGGGGCGTGCGAGCAGGAGTGTGGAGTCACCAGTCAATGACGTCATATCCGCGTTACCCTCAGTTTCCGCCAAGTTTGACCTCGTACTGCAATAGTAACCAATGGCGACAGACGTGGACAACCGGGTTATGCCCGTTATGCCTAGCAGGACGCCCACGCTGTAGTTGTTTTGTTCAAACATTATGGACCATGCCAAGCAGACAAAAAGAGTACTAAAACGAAGATCAACATCTTTCAAGATGCCGACATCCGCAACTAACTTCGACTTAGAGACGCGAGTGTTGCAGGTTACTTTATTAAACAGGTGAGCAAATGTTGAGCATGGTGAGCAAACTAATCAATGTTATTTAGTTCAACATGATGAAAAGTTAGAATATAATCTGCATGTTATACTCTAATGTTAATCAAGCCTAGTCTCATACAGCCAACAAACAACCTAACTACCAACATTCAACACACTCAAATGGCATTTAGTGTGATAGTGTAACTGTTAGAGTAAGTGAAACTAGACCTCAAGTTTTACCATGCGAGTATTAATCCAGCACTTGCGTGTAGTTCGGTAGAATGAAATGTCCTTATTCCTTTATATCCGCGGGATTTGCGTTGCGTGTGGCGCTGGTATATGTCTAGCAATCGTGCCTTGTTTCACACCCCAGTCATGTTAAAAACATCAGTGTATTCACTCATCCATAAAAGATCCATCAGCTTGACGACAAGATCCATAATTCTGCTTAATGCAGAATATACGTCATCAACATACGCCTTTGTTATTGTAAGAGGTTAGCAACCCCTGGTGGCGAAAGAATCTTGCATATTGTACCTTTAAGACCATATAAAACCAATTTTGTGACAAAGATATAAATATTTTATTATTCTTTTTAAGGGTCAACATGTACACAGTTTTATGAAATTGAGACCATAAAGGAAAAAAAAATAAATAAAAAGCGTACTTTTGATGATAGTCAATGTTCATCAATGTGGAAAATGGTTATGGAAAACTAAAGTACTGAATGTTGACATCTTGAATAACATTAAAAATGGTATTTGGAGAAAACAAGACTATGAAAGTGTAAAATATGGGGCCCTTTAAAGCATCCCATCCTGATCAGAGCACTTGAAGCAAGCAGTTTGTATCAGGGCGGGATATAAGCTCACTGGAGCTGTGATAGATGAGGCGTACAGCTGGATCAAGGATGGGATGGGGCGGAGAGAGACTGAATGAAGATGGACAGGGGAGAGAAAGAATGAGGCGGTTGAAGGTAAGCCGTACCTGTCCAAGGATCCCCCCCATCATGCTCCATATGGCTTGGCCCTCGGTCCTCAGCTGGCCATTGACATTCTGCAGGTCCTCCAGAGACTCGCACAGCTGTGGCAGATAAAACCGCGGCAAGGCGGGAGATAAGATAAGACAAGGACAAGTTGGGCAGCTCTGTCTGTTAGTGCGCACACACACGCACGGACTAACGTGTACAAATCCAAAGGCGTACACAAACCTGTGGACATCTGAATGACTAATACACAAATACGCTTAAAAAAAAACCCCCCAAAAAAAAAAAACAGGCTGATTTCAGGGAAGCAACAAACGCTACACATCAAAACACCCTCACACACACAAAAAAAAAAACATTTTCTACTTTTAACAGATTCAGAGCCCAGCACACCATGAAATATTCCATTACACTTCCTGCGTCTACATTTCTCTTTCTCGCACACACACGCACCGCTGTGGCATTTCGCCGTGTAGAGGCCACTCTCAGCTCCAGACAGTAGATAAGCGTCAGGCAGGCGTTTGATAAAGACGATGATGAGAGGAAACAGTGGAGAGGTGAAGTTATTATGGGTATGTGAAACGAAACTAAAGAGAGCCACCCTTATCTCCGCTGTCTGTGAAGATGAGGCTCCACGTGGGGAAGCTTGAGCTAACATTTAAAACCGTCTCCTCTCCAACACACACTCCAGATTAATACTGATGGCTCAGCGGGGTCCAAAACATAATGTTGCAACTATTTATATAGTTACATATCATACATTGATTTGTTTTTTTTTTGTTCGTTTTTTTTTTTTGTTTTTTACAAAAAAATCAATTAATACCAATAGACGTTTTTCCACCACCAAGCCATTCTCATAGCTTAACTGTTTCATTCAGTACCGATCCGGCCCATCCCAGCCAGTTACATTTTCTACTGTCGGGCCGATAACGGACCACTTTGGAATGTAATACAAATGCGTCAGTCGTTGCCTTAGTAACACGATAGTTTGCAGCGGCATGAGTTGCAAATGGCCGCGGTGTTATGGGGGATGATCAGATTATAATTGTATTATTAACTTGTGTTTACGTTAGAGCCAGACCGATATATCGGCCGATATTATGGATTTTTCAAACTATCGGTATTGGCAGTTATAATGGCCGATAAATGAATATTTCAAAACTTAAATAAAAACGGACGAAACACGCTTCAATCATCATCTCTCCTTGGCATGTTATATTGAAAATGTATGTTTTACAATTTGCAGTATGACGTTATCTATTGCTAAATTATGGCTCATCATAGACTAGCTAACCACAAAGCTAGCTAATGCCACTATCATCAGTGGAAAACCGCTAACGTTAACATTAATGAGCTTGGAAACCACATTGAACTTTTTTCTGCCTAAATAAAGTAATGATTACTGTATTTATAACTAACATATCTCTAGTTACAGTCCCTGCATTGTAAAATGCAAGTTAGACTTGCGAAGAGTGAACATTTAGACATAGAGAAAAAGTATCAAACGTAACTGATGATTGAAAATGGTTTGATGTAGCTTGATGGAAAGAATTTAAAAAGTGCAGGTAAAGGGATAAGCAAGCTGACATTGTAATTATAAGGTAGCTTATAAGGCAATGTTGGGAATAATTATTATTTTATTTATGAGAACTTTAATATATTTTGATATTCCTCTGTTCTGTTGTGACAATAAAAGAAACAAGTTTATTTTTAAAATGCTTTATCATACTATTTTAGTTAAAACTCATTAATAACTACAAATAACTATGTTAGGGAAATCTGTTAATGTTTTGTCGCGCATTTCTGAAAAAAATAAAAAATAAAATAAAATATCGGCCGATATATCGGAATATCGGATTTTAAAACCCAAAAATATTTGTATCGGTATCGGTCTTCAAAATCCTTTATCGGTCGGGCTCTAGTTTACATCAATCAAATAGCATGTTTGGCCAGCTACAGAGAAACTAGTAGGCAGAAAATGATTTGTAACCGTGCTGGTCCTAATCAAGCTCAAGTGGAAATATAAACCGAACCGTTCCATGTTCTTAAAACCGCTTTTTGGTCGAAAAGTGGTTAAAGTTTAAGCATATAGAGTGGCCCCATACATGTCTTTGTGCACCATTTCACTCTAAAATGAACATTCGGTCATCATTTTTTTTTCCGTCAAACATTTTAAAGAACACTAAAGAAATGCATCAATTTCCAGGTCCAAGAACAAATAAAAAGATTATGCAAAAAAACACATGGTTATATTTGTTTCTTCTTTTTTTATATTTACAGCACAAATAATACCATAACTTTTATTTTTATACCCGTTACTAGAATGAATCTCGAAGTCATCAACATACAGTGATAATAAACACCATATGCTAACACTAAAATTACTTTGGTGATGTAAACATCAAGCATTTTGCAATAATACCATTCTAAAAATATCAAACTAAAAGAAAAAAAAACTGTGTAACATACTATATAATTCAGGATTATTAACCACAATTTTAAGTTGACTCAGAACACTGATTTAGACCATTTTTGTGAATAAGCAGTCAGCTTTCCACAGATGTTGATTTCCTCAGGATCTCTCTCCAAGGCCGGCATCGTGCTAATGCATGTTGAGTGCCATAATTAACAACACACACTCCATTAATACCGCTTAATACATGTGGCACAGAAAGACTAGACGCCACATTAACTCCAACTTCTCGCTTTCATTCTACTCCTTATTGGGACAGATGAGAAAACACAAAAATCTACCCAAATCTGCTTCAAGAGATCACGTTCACAAGGATTGAGGGTCGATGGCAGATAAATAAAGCAGCACAGAACGTTTAGCTGCTGTTATACAATACAAGGGGTTTTGAAAATTTCACGAGTTTTATTTTTATTTTGTTTGATTTTGTTTTAGTTTAATTGTTCATAAATGTATTTTTTTAAATTGTAATTTTAGTTAACAAAAGTGTCATTTACTTCCAGTTTTTGTCATCTAATTCTCTGTAAACAATTCAGGATTTTGCAGGATCAGCTTTTTTTATTTCTCTCTGCAGTTGGTCTGGAATAAAGTAGCTTAAAATGAGATTTCACAGTTGCATAGTAAATTGAAAGACTGAAGCATAATTGGCATTATTTAGTAGCTGTTCAGGAGCTACGCTCTTGGGATAATATTCCAGCGGTGCGTCATTATTTCCTGGTGTGCATGCCTCTTCTTAAGCACCAATAGCCAAAACAAATGTGCAACGGACAAGCGCTAATGTACAAAACAGATGCTAGCGAGAGCCTGGAGTGTCAACAATAGGCAGACCTTATCGTAATCCATGTGCAGCTTCTCCTGCTCACTCTCCAGCTTGTCTTTGAGGTTCTTCTGCTCCACTATGTTGTCCTGGATCTGAATCATCCTCATGTTCCGCTCTGAATACCAAAAGACAAACAAATCGATACTGAGATTGCTATCAGAGTACAGGAAAAAGTATATCAAAAGAAGATTGAGGGAGAAAGCATGAAACAAAAGAGGAACGTTGAGAGAGAAAGTGCACTGATAGAGGATAGGCCTCCTGCTGGAACCTAATGGAGTGTGTGCCCAAGGTTACTCTACACATCTGCTCTTAACATCACTCATTTGGAGGGCAAGTGCCTAGCTACAAGGCTACAGAGCGGGATGCATGTCTAGCGCTCACTGTCTGATACCGCCTACGGTTCTGCAGACAGATTCAAGTGTGTTAGGGACAGTAAGCTACATGCTACAAACGCATCAATGTTTGCTCTACCCATTAAAAAGAAAAAAGCAGATTGAGAAAGGCTGATTCTCGGAAAATAGACCTGATGAGTTATTTCTACTTAAAGTGGTGAAAATCAAGCTTTTATTATGATTTAAGACAAACCATGGCACAAATTCATAAGTCAACACCATTGCTCAGTATTTTCTCCTTAAAACTGCAGTGAACCAAAGATGCGTTCGCTGGTGTCGCTGGTGTTTCTGACGTCACAAACTACCTTGTAACCAATCAGTTCGACGAGTGATCGTCAACGAGTGGATCTCTGAACTGGTGTAAGTGAGTGAGTAGAGGCAGGGCCAATTTGCATATTCATAGAACCCCGTATATTAAATGAGGCAAGGGCGTATTTACATTTAAGCTATTTTAATGCATGAAGAAAAAAAAAAAACTTATTATAAAAATATCATTTTGATGATGAAACACGAGTTATAAAGGGATGAAATGAATGTCTACAGGAGGACTTTTATTATTTGAATTAGCAAATGAAAAACCAAAACCACTAACCTAGGTAGTAGTTAACAAAGTCTGCCGTGAGGGCAGGCTGCTTATGTTTACGCCGTCCATCTATGCTTGCGCTGGTCTCAGATGTGTCCACGGGGAATATGTCTGTGCTGATACCCATGAGCTCGGCTTTACGCATCAGCTTACGAATGGCTGACGCACTAGAAGTGAGCGGTCGGGGAAGCTTCTCTCGGGGCACCCACGCCTGCGGTCGAGTGTTTCGAGACAGCTCTGCTTTCGCTCTGTACTGCTGGAGCCGAGTGGTTATACGAGCCTAGAGGTCAGAAAATCATGGACATTCAAAAATAAATGATTGATCGTTCACTACTAGACTGTCTCACGTGTGGAAGATCGTGTCCAGATGGCAAATCTGACCTGAGCGGTAAATCTGACCTGAGCTTCAGGTGTCAGTTGCTTCTCTCTTTCCTGCAGAGACACTTTGCAATAGGACTGCAGGGCCAGGTAGTTCTTCCTTTTCCATTTCCTGTCAAAGCGGTCTGCGTGCTGCTTGCAGTACGCAAAGAAGGGATCTGCAATGTCCTGTGGGTGAAAATGGATCATGATTAGTGTAGATAGAGACCCAAAAGAGCTGAAATCTTGGAACCATAGCTTGCTAAAACAAGAAAAAGAAAAGTCAGTGATGAATGACAACTTCTCATTAATAATTCTGAAAACAAAAACACATGTAGCAGCCATGTTTGTGTGTTGATAAGATTATGGAACATCTGATACGCTTGCTTGACAGTTAATCACTGTATCCAGGTGATTCGAGAATCTGATTGGATGATGTGTACACAGAGTCACTGTAAAACAAAACAACGCTAAATTTTGGGGCTGTTTAACACCTGGTCACTTCATGTATTTTTACTGATCGGATAGTCATCTGATTTATTAAAACTGTTCCATTTACAATCGGCCACAAAAATGTGTCGCCGCAAAAGTGATATAAATCCGATCTTCCACATTGACGAAAGCAAAAGATATGCACTGCATTTTATTCATCAGCTAATTTCAAGATCAACGACTGCAATAAGAGAGAGAGCAGTATCACCAATGGTACGATAATTTAGTTTCACTACTTTTAATGAAGATGACTGAATGTTAAAGGAAATCTCTTGAACTCTCGTCTAAGGCCAACAAGGAAGAAAAGGAACAGTCGAATAAAATCATTTTTTTTTTTTTTTTTTTTTTTTGCACAAAAAGTATTCTCGTCACTTGATAAACTTATACTTGAGCCACTGTTGTCACATGGAATAGTTAAACATTTTCTTCAATGACTTTCTGGGCCGTCAAGTTTTGATCACTTTAGGCAGCCTCTGTAGCAGTGATCCAGCTCTCAAATTTAATCAAAAATATCTTAATTTGTGTTCCGAAGATGAACAAAGGTCTTACGGGGTTGGTACACCATGGAGGTGAGTAATTAATGACTTAATTTTCATTTTTGGGTGAACAAACCCTTTCAGCTTCAGGATCCGATGCAGAATTTCAAGTTTAACTTGCGGCAGTTTGCATGTCGGCTTGCTGAAGAGATAATCGGCAATTCACATGCAACAGGCCATATGTGTGGTGAAATATGATGCATGTTTCAGTAACACATTCTCACATGTTTATTTATTTATTTATTTTTTTATTTTTTTTATTTTTTTACAATTTTGGGAGGAATAAAATTTGCATATGAGGCTTCAACAACCGGATACATTGAAGGGTTAGTTTACCCAAAAATGAAAATTATGTCAGTAATTACTCACCCCCATGTTGTTCCAACCCCGTAAGACCTTCGTTCATCTTCGGAACACAAATTAAGATATCTTTGATTAAATCCGAGAGCTGGATCACTCCTGCATACTAGTCCATATGCTTCTTGAGGGATTGAAACTTGCTGGCCTCGAAAAGTTATTAAAGACATCGTTAAAATAGTCCAAGTGACTACAGTGGCTCAATCTTAACTTTATCAAGCGACAAGAATCCTTTTTGTGCACAAAAAAAAAAAAAATACGACTTTATTTACACTATTCACTTCCTTCTCTATGCGCCTCTAGTCAGTTAACGTAGTGTGATTGCGTAGAGCTACGTCACACGTAGGCTCACTATTGGCCGACGCTGGTCATGTGTGTGATGCGTGTGACGTAAAATAACAGAAGCTTACGCTATTAAACTAGTAACCTGACTGGAGGCAGAGAGAGAAGTAAATGAATAGTTGAAATATAGTCATTATTTCTGTTGTTTTTTTGCGCACAAATGTGTTCTCGTCATTTGATAAAGTTAAGATTGAGCCACTGTAGTCACTTGGACTATTTTAACGATGTCTTTAATAACTTTAAGGCCAGCAAGTTTCAATTCCTCAAGAAGCCAATGGACTAGTATGCAAGAGTCAGCTCTCAAATTTAATCAAAGATATCTTCATTTGTGTTCCGAAGATGAACGAAGGTCTTACGGGGTTGGAACAACATGAGGGTGAGTAAATATTGACAGAATTTTCATTTTTGGGTGTATTAACCCTTTAACACTTGTCTAGTTTCATTTGGAACACATTTCAAACATCCTCCTGAAGTGGTTTGAGTGATCGGATTTAAACCGTAAGGCATTTACACCTGGTCTTTTAGAAAAGCATGAAATGACCAGGTGTTTTTTTTATTTATTTTTTTTATTTTATTTATTTATTTGACAGGGACAGTGTACATGAATTAGCATTACTGCAAATGTACTAGAATTAGCCAAAAGGCTATTTTTTATCCATTGTCCCTGGACAGATGTTAATATTGTCTACCTTAAAAAAAAAAAAAAAAACAGCAGTTAAAACTTTACAAGGAAAATACAAAATATAAAAACAATATAAATCGCTAAATCCTTTAGGTAAATACAGTGTACAAATTCATTATATTATGAACATTTTGGCAAAATATAAATGTTTGGCCATTTATTGTGCGAAAGTTTTGCGTGGTAAGCCTGGAGTATAATATAATCCGTGTAAAAATATATTCATGCATTTTCATACTGTATGATGCATACCCTACAGTTCAAAATTTTTGAGTTTTGAGTGTATTGTTTAAGGAATACATTTTATAGCAAGGATGCATTAAATGAATCAAAAGTGACAGTAAAAAATGTGTAACATTATAAAATAAGATAAGATTTCTATTTCAAATCAATGCTGTTCTATTGAACTTTTGAATAATAAAAATAATCCTGAAAAAAAATAACGGCCTGCACAATTATATTAAGTAGAGCCCAAAAAAACTGCATATTAGAATTACTTATTATGAAGAATCATGTGACACTGAAGACTAGAGTAATGGCTGCTGAAAATCCAATTTTGCCTTCAAAATAATATGGTATTATTAGTATTATATTTTTGTTTAAATTGCCCCAATCATGTTTTTTTTTTTTTTAATCTTCCCTTTCATGCAATGTGTAACATAGCTGTTTGTGAATTTAAAAGGTCTGCAAAGCTGTACAGTCGAAAGTGCACGATAAATAAACTTATTGTCTCAAAAAAAAAAGAAAAAAAAGAATAGGTTCTATGTCACTAGCAAAGACATTTGCATTATGCTCACCTATGTTGTACATTGTCCGCAACTTGACCAGCCCTCAAATGTCATTTTACTGACGATTGATTAAAACAAAAGGCACGTGTCAAAGTCAGAGTATTCTAAAATAATCTCCTGATGTCTAGAGTGACATCTCAGCTGTGGAAAACAGAGTTTAGTCTACTTCTTAAAATGCACACGACTTGGACGAAGCTGGGGGAAGGGTTTATGTCTTTGAGAACACAATCCGAGCTATTCCACTCAGGTTATTTTAAGATGCATCATCATCTCAAATACCTCATTATTGTTAATTTAGACAATTGCTGCAGGTTTTATTTTGAGTGCTTGTGTGCTCGCACACCTGATCGTTTTAATGTACAATTTGATAAATGGAGCAAATTGTAGTATCTTCTGAATAACAGACTGATGCATTCTTGCTGTTGTGATGATGCCCAGCACTCCACTTTTTATAGACCATCAGTGTCTGTGCATTCTCTGATAGCCGTGATAAATAGCTGGTCACAAAAGGCCTGTAAAAATTCCCCTCTCTTTTAAAGGACAAGTACATTTTGCAGAGAATGTGGGGGTTGAAGCCCGAGCGGCAAGGCGATGACTGATGTAAGGCTGGCAGGATTTTTCCAGAAATGGAAGTGGACTGCCTTTCTCAGAAACAGCCTTTTTCAGAAAAAGAGGGAACCCTAGAACAATGTCAACCCGTTTCAGCAGTTTCAAATCTCTGCAGCGGAGACGTTAGCAGCAAGTTTATCCTCCCTGGTTACATCTCCTAGTCACACGCATAGCATTTCAACCCCTCCCTCGAGGGCAGATGGAAGCACAGCCATTTCCTGTCAGCCACGGAATCGTTTAGGCTTAAGGCGTCTCGCAGGATGCTATCAGCCCACTCACCTGTTGATATGAGGACCTTTGCACAGCTGACTGGATTAAGTGGATTGCAGTGAGTAGGCACTTTTCGCCAGTGTTTATCTACCCTGACGCCACCATCATGTGCTTCTCCAATATGGCAAGAATATTTGAGCCACGAGGCTGATGGTCTGTGACCACGGCCTGGTCTGGGAATTCGTTCTACTGGCTGGCCTTGTGGTCTGAACCGTCTTCCTATGCTTAGGTGTGCATCCATTTGATAAACGCTTGCGTTAGAAGTTCAAACATGCATGTGTAATACGTGTGTTCACAAAGAATCAGAATCTAGAGAATAATGGATAGTCCATTTAAAGCTTACACAATTCCGTATGAATTTGTTCCGTGTAATAAAAGAGAAGGAATTTATTGCTCTTTTTTTTTACCCTGTATGATTATGAATTGGTGACTAGAGCTTTCAAGCTACAAAAGTATACAAAAGCATCAAAATAATAATTATATTCCATGATTTGTATGCTATATTTCACATTTTTGAAACAATTCAGTTTTGTGTGACAACCTGGCATTTAAGTTCTTCACTGATAATATTCCTCTCCAGTAACCTCTATTAACCACTGCTAACAGAGTCAAACTTGAGAACCGAATCAGTCAGATTCATGAATTAATCATTCATTTCACTGAAAAGATCATGCTCAAAAGAACGATTTGTTCATGAATCTGCTACATAATTGAGCAATCAAATGGCTTCAAAAGGGTTGGAAAAATAGTGCCTTTACATGGACTACTTGTGATATTTTCATGGTGCCTTTTGTCCTTTTAGAGCTTTGTTACCCAGTCCACTTGTAATCATCCACTTTCATTACAGTAAAAAGAGTGGCCAGGATATCTTTGTGTTCCACAGAAGTCAGTCAGCCCAAGAGGTTTTGAAATAAATGTGGGTGAAAAATAAACATTTATTTATTTTTTATTTATTTTGCTTTTGAAATGGATTTGAGGACAAGCAGAATAGTTTTTTTGTTGTTTTTTTTGTCAGAAAAAGTTTGTTTACAAGCCTGATTACAAGAGGTTGACAGGCAGGAGAGTTAAAAAGCACAGACAGGAGAAACAACAACGCATTGCAAAGCTGTCATCACAAGACTGCGACGGAGAGAAAGTTGTAGAAAATAAACATCAATTAAATGCAGATTAAAGAGGATGACCACATAACACACTAACCTCTTCTGCAGCAGCTTCAGACAGTAGCCCTTCCCGTTGAGCACACGTAACATGGAAGAATGAACGGCACATTCCAGCATCACAGCTGATGCAAACGCCTGTGCGAGCAAAGCGTGCGTCCTCACACAAACTGCACTCCTGCAAACCATTAACCCAAACAGGCCGTTGTGACACCAGCAAATGGCAAAAAACTATGACATACTTGAAAAAACACGGCATTTAAAAACTTTTTAGCATTTGCTGACTTCAGGTCTTATTACTTTCATACTAATGACTTGGGATTATGTCTGTTTTTCCAAAGTCAAGAAAGGTAAACCGCCAGCTGATTGTGAAAAAAAACAAAAAAAACACCATTATAACAATCCCACATTCATTTACTGTATAGTTCTATATTTAAGATAAAGTGGTCAATGAGTCTCTAAAAGCCCATTTGACTTTCTCCAATTACTGGAGTTCAAAATTAAAATAATAATAGCCTTTTTCTTGGAGTAATTTCTTTTCACATGTACAGCACAAACCATTAAAGAAAGCTGTTCAAGTGCTTCTAAAGTAATTTGCTTCCCAGTAAAAGGAACCTCTTCTGACTTACTGACACATAAAATAATGTCAGATAGAGTAAATGTCAAAATGTCTACAGTCGACAGAAATTCTTGGGAGGGAAATGAAAGACGCCCCCTTTGCTCATAGACGAAAGTCAGCATTTCACATAATTCATCAGAAAATGTAGTTTTTGTTGTTTCTGTTAAATCGATTAATCGCATCTAAAAAAAAATGTTTGTTTATATATGCGTGTTTGTGTATGCATGTATGTCTGTATGTATGTATTTCGACATTTATAATAATCAGAAATGATTCTGGAGCAGCAAATCTGCATAGAATGATTTCTGAAGGATCATTAGACTGGAGTAATAACTGAAAATTATTATTATTGAGGATTTTTTTTTTCTATTTCTATAAAAAATAATTTTCCATTTAATAAATTAAAATGTGTTTTAATTTGTTATATATGAAGAGTTCAGATGCAAAAGCCTCTAAATGCCATTTGAAATTTTCTTCTTTAATGATGATTTTTATCAAACTTGTATATTTAAGTTCAGTAATTTCACTTAAATAACATTTAATAGGTAATTATCATTGCCATTTAAGTGAAATTACTGAACTTAAATATACAAGTTTGATAAAAAATCATCATTAAAGAAGAAAATTTCAAATGGCATTTAGAGGCTTTTGCATCTGAACTCTTCATATATATATATATATATAAGTGCTGTCAAACGATTAATTTCATCGCGATTTATCACATTAATGTCATAGTTAACTCGCAATTAATCACAATTACTCGCACCTTTCTATACTAAATGTCTCTTGATTTATATTTGTCCCATTATTTTTTCTCATTTTAATGCTCTTATCATTTAAAAAAAGTGGATCGGCTTGCTTTATGCAAATGTTTTTTTTTTTTGTTGTTGTTGTTGTTGTTGTTTTTTTATTGAAAACAACATTGGCATATACTGTGTTCAATTTCAAACTAACATTTTTACTTGGCGCAAATAATCTCTCAATGTAACACTGTCCATCAATAAAAGGGTGAAAGAAATACCGACGAGGTGCTGATATTGACGAGGGGGCGGAAAATTTGCATCAGCTGTGTGTGTGTGTGCTTGGACATCTTCAAGTGGTATTTCAGACTGGACGTGCTGCAATGATGATCGCTCAGATCACAACGACAAAATACACAGATCACTTTGGTCTTGTCAATGGGACTATTTGGCAATTTGTTTTCATTTACTATTTGGCTGGCTCGCACAGGCATCATGCCTGTTGCTTTGTTTCCAGTCTAGCTAGATCCACTTGCGTTTTGGTCGACGTAGCAACAAAACGTCCTGGCGTATGTTTTCAATTGTTTTCAATGGGAGCGGCACATTTTTTTTTAAACGCCATGAGCGTAACGAGTCACTGGCAAAATGCTCTCAAGCGCCCAAAGCACGGCGTCTTCAGTAGAGCGTCTGCCGTTTTCAGCTGGCTAAAACCGCTTTGGTGGACACACGGCCTAAGACACATCTTTCGTTGAGAAAAAAAAAACAAAAAAAAACAACACAACCCCAAACTTTTAGTGTAAAAGCAGTGTAACAATTTATAATTTCACTGAATGATGAATTTTGCTGCAACAAATCAATGTTTGGGTCAATATTGGTTGATTAGTGTTAATATATTGGCTTACCAGTATTAATAACTTGTATTTGAGATTATTTATTTTTTTGCAGTTGTGTCATTAATCACTTCTGATACTTGCCTTTGCCCCATACTTTGAGTAGTTCATCTCTGTGAGTGTTACTGGCCTCAGCTTGTCAATATCTCCAAATGCAACGCCTGGAACATAAAGGGCACACACCACGTGCACCCACCTTCAGCAGAACAAAATAAAGTTGAGTTTGCATCTGTAATATCTAAGTTACACAATTATCAGAGTATAAGGACAGCTTCTTATACTGAATAACAAATCAAGATGGTAATGATCCAGATGTCCACTTTTAGAAGAACAAAGCAGCATCTATTCACTAGGCTATTCCTTGAATAACTGCTATACCCTTAAGCCCTTCAGAAGAGAAAATACTCTAACTTGACCATTTGGTGTGACAAAATTTCAAATGCAGACTTTAGGAAGGAGAATCCGAAGTCCAATATAAAGATATCCATCTCTGGTGAGCGAACGCTCCACACTTTAATTTGCTGTGTTTTTCATGCTCTAGTGAAGTAGTAAATTTGGGTGCAGACGGGCTGAGGAGCACTATCAGTGATAACGTGGCTTGAGTCTTCACGCTTCAGACACCTCTCTCTTCCTCTCCCTCTCTCTCTCTTAGCCCTATCCCTCCATCCCTCCCTCCTAGCCAAATCGACCACCTTTTCTCTCCTTCACTCATCCTGCACAAACCTGTCCCTCTTCAAGTATTTCTCTTGTTTGGCTACTTTCAGAGAGTACCACAAAACTTTCAACGAATGTACAATAATTAAAGTAGTGAAAGATATGACGGGAATGGCAGTGCCTTTAATTAATCTACTAATGATGATAAAATATTATATCAGACCAAGCATCGGTTAAAACGCACCTCCCAGCATCAGTTTCTTTAAAGATGCCGTCCTGACTGGGACAGAGTTCACAGCTGGGTGTAACGCCATTCTTGCAAGCGTCACAGAACCACGGTTCTGTTGAGTTCTCTGAGGCCGAGCTCATGATAGAGTCACTTTCACCATCGACACCATAGCAACCTGAAGGAACAAGAAAAATCTAATGAATGTTGAGTATTTGATATTACTGATTGCACAGTAAGTTCTTATATTATAACCCATTCCCAATCATAAACAACATACAACATTATCTAAGAAATATTAGATATATTTATATTTTAAAAAATGCTGTACACTGCACAGACACACACACACAAATACATACACTGCCCAGTGCCCCGTGCCAAAAAGTGACTGTTTGGTTTTAAATGGGCAAATGCAAATGTGAATATTATGCGTCTAGCAGGTTATATATCTTTGACAACAATTCTTCTAATCCTAAATGATAGAGTGTGTAGCTTTTAATTTCTTTAACAACCATGTAGGAAGATGATGACAATGTCAAGATTCATCAGGCTCAAATTGTGAAAGAATGGTTGTAAGGGAGCATGAAGAAGATCCTAGACCTAAATTCATTGAAAGTCTTTGGGATGTGCTGGAAGAGACTTGACAGAGTGATTGACTCTTGCATTGTCAATACAAGATCCTGACCAAAAAAAAGATGCACCTCTTGATGGAAATAACATCACAACATTCATTTCCATCAAGAGGTGCATCAATCTTTGATAAAGATCTTGTAGAGCCAGTGAATATGTTGCCAGGGCAATTAAAAATCCGAACTACGGCAGAAAATATCCTTAGTGCTGAGCTGCATGATGCTGCAGTTGTGCCTGGCAGAGTGTCAAAAGAACAAAGACATCTAGAGCACAGAATGGTTTTGTTGCACTTTTTCCGACAAAAATAAGGCCATTTGATCGAATTGTAGCATCACAAGTCCACAGAAATAGAAGTATTGGGCCAATGAAAGTATTTTAATGTGGTCACCTTCATTTCCTTGGGTTGCAAAGACAATTATTGGGCTGATCAGGTTACCATGACGCCTATTACACTCAGAAAACGTGCTCCATGCCACCAATAAGGACGGCAGTCAGCTCCTTGTCAACACTACAGAGATAACGTTCCTGTTCCTAATACGGCAAACTGGCCCCCGGGTGTGGGAGAAATGGAGAGAGAGAGACAATCAAGTAAAAGTTCAGATCCTTTACATACTCACCACAAAAGACTCAAACAGCGAAGTGTGCAGAGAATGCTTAAAGGAGTAGTTCACTTTTAAAAAAAAGCTTTTGCTGATAATTTACTCACCGCCATGTCATCCAAGATGTCCATGTCTTTCTTTCTTCAGTCGAAAAGAAATGAAGGTTTTTGATGAAAACATTCCAGGATTTTTCTCCATATAATACACTTCACTTGGTATCAAATGGTTCAAGGTCCAAGTAAGAGTTTCAGTGCAAACTGTTTAAAGGGCTTTAAATGACACCAGAGGATGAATAAGGGTCTTATCTAGCGAAACGGTCGCTCATTTAAAAAATAAACAAAAAAATTTAAAAAAAAGTTTTATAAGCACAAATGCTCGCCTTAATTTATTTTCGACTGAAGAAAGAAAGACATGGACATCTTGGATGACATGGGGGTGAGTAAATTATTTATCAGCAAAAGTTTTTTTGTTTGTTTTTTTTTTTTTTTAAATCATCATGAAAGTTTATTAGCATGCATTTTGAAGCTGTATCAGTCTAAACTTCTGATTTATGGTTTTCTGAACGCACAAACCTGAAAAATGCACACAGATAGCTGGTTCCTCTGTAGCCTGGGTTTCCCCATTCTGCCTTGCCGCAGCGTGATTTTATTCGCGCTGCTAGGCAGTCTGGATACCATGAACCAAATTTTCCCCTGAAATAGGGAACCAATCACAGAACAGGGAGGGAGCACAGGCACATTTGATAGACGTACAGGCAAATTTAGCACCCAATAATACGGCTCTGGGCATTCGTAAACCACGCCTCAAATACGAGAAATTGAACATGTGGTTTCCAGACCATGTTTCATTCTCAATGATTCGTTCCCCTGAGTTTTAAACTAAGTTATCTTTCACGTCTTATTGCACTTAAACTGTCAAACAAACACAATGTTATGTCAAACAAAGCTCACATTAACAGTCGGTTAAGTCTGTGAACGTAAACAGCAAGTAAAAAAAAATTGCATGTGTATATTACATCTGTGTTTTAAAGTGAAAGCAGCATAATATATACAGTACCTAACATTGCTATGCTGTTCATATGAATCAAAAAGGAAAATCACTCACTTCTATTGATTAAATTAACTTAAATAAGAATACATTTATTTCTTGAAAGCTTCTGTTGGCGAGGAGATAAACATGGCAGACTGTGTACAGTTCACTCAGGGTGGGATTTATGCTAATGGGGTAGAGTCCATCCATCAGCAGTCGTGGGCAGGGCCTGAACAATGTGACATCACATTGCATAGAAACGGCAAATGGCTTGTACTGAGACACTGCTTATGATTTATGCGGACTCTAAAAAGAGAAGTGAGTGGATTTGTACCATTATAGAGTGGTTGTGTACACACTGCTGACACACATTTATGTTACACAAAAAACATGTTAGTGAATTTCCGCATTATAGCTTTAATATAAGAAAGGTGAGGGGATACATTAAGGTGTGGAATTTTGTGCTGATTGTGTAAGGGTAAGATATGTTGACCTTGTTAATTTGTTTGCCAGAATCATTCAGGTCACTTTATCCAAGAGGAAACACAAATTGCGTGGCCATGCCTGTAAAGAGCACACAGCATCTCCCACCAGTAGAATCAAATAAGAGGCTTTTCGTAACCTCATCTTTCAGTCATTTTGAACCATGAGGTAATGGGTGCCATTACGAAGCCCAGCCCGACGTTTATTTTCTTAAAGAAAGGTATTATGGGAACACTGCTGCCAACAGTTGGGTGCGTATTACTGACTTGGCTTTGAACCATAGGGCTGGAGCTTGCGATGATCAGATGCTGGTTTAACTGACTTACTGCTGAACCGTCAAGCAAATCTCCGATGTTCCTTTTGAACTCAGATACAAAGCTGGACCTGCTAAGCCACAGGGTGCTGGCTAATATGAGCTAAGCTGGAAAAAAGTGATGACTATGGGAGAGCATCATAATCCCTGAGGAGAAGATTATCCTTGTCAGAAATGACGAGCTTGGCAGTTAAAGAGCGACCTGGGTAAGGCTGGTGACAATCAAGAGGAACACTTTTAAGATGCAATGGAGGAAGGTTCAGGATGAGTTCAGAAAGAGTTAACATGCTAGGGTGATGTGTGTGTACACATATGCATGTATGACTGCAATCAGACAATGAGGCAAAGCGTGCTGGCATTATCCACAGTGTGTGTGTGTGTGTGTGTGTTCTCCATCTATTCGCTAGTTCAATGTTCAAACTACGATGGTGAATGCAATAATATATCAGCAGGCTATAAAATAACAGTGGGTTGCTTTATTTGCATCTCCAATAGCCAAAATGAACAGAATAACTTCATTAAAGTTCTGACTTCAAGCAAATGATTCAATGCAGTGATCATGATATACAGTATTTTCACAAAGGTCAAAGTAGCTCATGATCATGTAGATTGTTGTGTCTGAGCAGAGCATCAATCTTTCATAACTGGAAATTACTATATTAAATAATCAATGTGGAGATGAAAAACTAATGGCCAGATATGGCAGAATTACAAAACTGCTTTTTAAAAAAATGAAACCATGTCTTGCATGACGAGTGAAAAAGATTTTGTGTCAAGCAAAAAATACAATTACTATAAAAGGCACCTACAACAGAACTGAAAGGAATCAGTCTCCGAATAGTCTTAAAAAGTGTTTTATGCTCACGAAGGCTGCATTGAATGTGTAATATTGTGAAATATGACGTTTTAAATTAAACCATAAATAGCATTTAATTAACAATGCAAATGTAAAAAATGTAAATGTTTTTGCTGTCACACTTTTAATCAATGCTTAATAAAAGTAGTATTTTCTTCAAAAGAAGTGTGAATTATTTAAGCGGTAAAGTCTAAAATGTTAAACAGAGTAGGTAAAGCAGTAGAAAACAATGGAATTGTGACTATGTTATAATTGTGGCTATAAACGGTGTATTAAAGTTATTGCATTACTCAAGTTCTAATTGAACCCAGAAGATTCCTTTAAGTTGAAGTCCTCTGACTCTTTGTCAAATGATTAACGAGGAGACGTTCAGCGCAGCGATGTATTTCAATTATATTCACTCTGTTTCTTCCCTAAATGCTAATATTTTTCATCCAGGATGAAGAAGATTTATTCAATACATCAAATATTTGCCAAGTCAGCATGCAAAGCAGGACCACAGACAGGAACAACAGAACCAAGTCGGGGGGCACGGAATGAGTGAATAGGGCCAATTAGAACCAAAAAGACTTGGCAGATGAGATAGAAAGGGGGAAAAATATGAGGTAAGAGCTACGAATGGCAGCTGCCTTGATGTAAATCAGCAAAATTGATTCAGAGCTACTGAAAAAAGCCTTTTGAAAACCAGCACTCTCTCTTTCACAAAACAATACAATCATTTTCATAACCAGCAATGCGTGGAATAAATCATTTCCTCATTAAGAGGTGAGTGAAAAGAAATAAAATGAAACATGCAATTGACAAAAAAAAAACTCAGGTTCTATCAAACCAGATAACATTCTAATTTAATACTTGTTTAACTCTTTGAAGCTGGTTTTGTATTGGGGATGAAACCAATGTGATTCAGCTGTTATTCAGCAGGGCACCTTTTTAAGAACAAAGGCTTGAATTTGCTTAATAAATCAGTTTTATTCAGCAGTGCTTGAAATGTTTTGTTTCAATAGTCAATGAAAGTCAAAAGCGTTTTCACTACTCCGGCATGTAGCTATTAAACACATTGCATACTTCTCCATTGTGCGCTATAAAATATGACATTTTCAGGCCCCCATTCCATAAGCAGAAACTTTGTTTAATTTTTTTAAACCAAATCAGTCTACACTTCAATAATTGAAGGAACAATCACCCCTGAAGCACTATGGTGTTAAGAATATCTCTAAAGAGCGCAATGCCGATATGGTTTTCAGGTCCGATACATTACTTTACTA